CTCCGCGCAAAAATCCGCCTATACCCCGACGTCCTGGACGACCACCGCACTGCATGCCCCACGTCAGGTGCTTTAGCAACGCATTACGTGTGGAGCGTGCTGTCGGGGTAGTCGGCTCAGGGCTGGAAGTCCGGCGTGAGCTCGAGCAAAATCGAGAGCGGATGGCAGTGTGGGCACGGGCGGCAAAGGCCCGCACGAGCAGGAAGGTTACAGATTGAAAACCCCTAGTACCAGGAGGCTGCAGCGCGGGCTGCGTTGCCCTGCGTGCACGGACTTAGTCGGCCTCAGCACCTCGTCGTGGTTCGCCTGGTCGGTTGGCGGCGGGCACAAAGGTTATTATGTCACAGACGAGCCTCACGCCGTGCCACAACTTGCCAGCCTTTGCGTGCGATCTCGAGCCTGCGGCGCGTCAGCGAGGGATTGCTTACGGCACTCCTACAGCCGATCCCGCGCTGTCGCCGTCCCCACCGCCCTCGTGCACGGGGACCCCGCATCGACTGTCGCAACAAGGTGCGAGCCTATGCGTTAAACTCATATGTCTAGTGGATTTTGCCGGTCAATGCACCAGGTGCTGTTTTCTTATGTGCATACTGACCGTAAACGGTTGTTCAAGGACCGACCGAACTTCCTCCTGCGAGGATCAAAGAATAAAATTCGCTTCCCGTCCAGCTGAAACGAAATTTGGTCCAATGGCCGTCGCCACATCTTGCACGTTTCATCCGTCGAGTTCACGGACAACAATGCTCTGGGAGATGGGCCGATTGTTGCCGACACGGAGTCGGCTTTCTGTTCAAGGTCCCTGTCCTTTCAAGCGAACGATCTGATCTGGTAGGCACATTGCGCGAGCACACCCTCAGACTGCAAAGCTATGGCGGTGTACCGGGCATGCCTGCAAGGCATTGCGCGATGCCCTCCACACGACTAGCATGGCATTTCGGGCTGGAGTGCAACCCCAGCAGCCGCTCCTCGCTCCTTGCGGAACGCCAGACGAAGCTCGGCCGCTGGACCGTCCAGCGCCCTTTGCTGTGGGCCATCCGAGCTGGCCGCATTAATTGCGAATCCGACGAAATGCGGCAGTTTGAGGGAGGTTGGTATGGACGAAAACGATCGAGGCATCCATACTGCGACGTGGGCACCCAATATTGGGCAGGGCATGTTTGTGTGCTCCCTCACCAATTTCTTCTTGCGCGAGAGTGCCTGCTGTTGCGACGCGCCTAAGCTCTGTAGCGCCTACGATCCAAACACGCGCACGTAGTCGGAGACCGCCTGCCGCACAGGCCCGCCTCGTGACATCCTGTGGCGTGGGTCGAAGCAAGACGCGAATGCCACCATCGTCAGTCCGTCACCACGGCAGGTGATGCCACTGGTGCTGCCCAGCCGGGTGCAGACGAGCTCCCCAGTCGAGCTGTGGAGGGCCGAGAGACGCCAACGCCACGAGGCCCACTCCGAGCTCGTTCGCGCTCGTCGCTGCCACTCAGTGGTTGTTGAGGTAGGGGGCTTGTTTGATATGATGTGGAAGCTAATTAGATCGCGCGGCGTCGTGCCATGTCGTTCCTGAGGGGTGGCAGCGGCTACGCGAGCGGCTGTGCGTGGAACCTGTGTAGCCGGCCCGTCAAGCCATGTCGTAGCCGGAGCAACGAAGCAGATGAGGGTGAAGAAGAAGGCACAAACGACTGATGCAGGATGGCAAAGCAATCACATTTTTGTTGCACCAGTTGACGACCACCTTCTTGGCTTAAAACGGAGAGAGGATTTGAAATGTTTCAGGGCAGCCCCGGCAGTCGCATGCCTTCCCGTGCTGGCTGACCCGCAATTTGTTCTGGTGACATGGAATCAGGAGACTTGCGCTCAACACGCGGCACATTGCCGTCAAGCGCCTTTCACGAGCAAGCACCGCAAGGCACAAAACTCGCATCAATTTCGGTGCTGGCGGAACTGTAAACCAATGGCAAACGTAAAATCGTACGAGCCAGGAGCTGTGCGTTACAGAGTAATTTTATATCAAGCGACTTTCATCAGAAGCAGATCAGAAGCACCGATCGAGTTTCGTTGTGGAATTGTCATTCAATCAGGCGCTATAGCCGCTATGCTAGACCGCAAACAGTACCAATCGGGTGCACGGCCCTTACAACCAATTTTAGTCAAACGATTTTCACGAGAAGGCGTCGCTGCGCACGAAACATTCATCGATTTCGGCGCTGATTGACCTCCAGCCTGGTCACCGGCTAAGGCCGCGAATAGCATACCCCGGGAGCCATGTCTTGGTGTTCCCGGTTCGATTGGGTAGGCAGGAACACCGGCCCGTTTTCCAAACCAGACCTGTTCGCGTTTGTACATGTTGGCAGCCAGGCTTTTGCGGGGCAGGTGTGTAGTGCCTGGCGGCTGTTGTTGGCTGCAATTTGTGCAGCATCACATTTCAAGTATTTTGGGCCCAGGCCATTTTTCGTACATGACTCCCAGCGGTGGGGGTTTCAGAAGCACCCTGCAAACGGACAAGGGGTGCTTAAAAACGGGTGTAACACGCCGATGCGCGGATGTCACGTTGCACTTTCGGGATCCTGCATCCCGGACACTAGACCCTATAATACGTGAGGTGCAGCGTTGGAGCGGTATGCTCG